GGTTCACTTAGGCAGTGAGGACAGGGAAAGGCAGAACTGGGAGGGAGTGCTGGGGAAAGTGCAAGCTAAGTTGTCTAAATGGACATGGTTGCTACCTCAGCTGTCCTACAGGGGAAAAGCTCTGATTGTCAACAACCTGGTGGCCTTGTCCCTCTGGCACAGACTGCAGGTGCTGCTGCCTCCGCCTGACCTCGTGGAACAACTGCAGCGGCTCCTGGTGGACTTCTTTTGGACTGGATGTCATTGGGTGAGAGCGTCGGTCCTGTACCTCCCTGTGGCAGAGGGGGGGCAGGGCCTGATTGACATCAAGTCCAGAACTGCAACTTTCAGACTGCAAGCAGCTCAGCGGCTGCTGTATGGACACTCGCCCTGCTGGTCGGCGTTGGCCTGCCTGTTACTCCAGAGAGCCGGACGGCTCGGACTGGATAAACAACTCTTTCTTTTAAAGCCAGCTGGATGTGACCTGGAAGGGCTCACACCCTTCTACAAATCGGTTTTAAACGCCTGGAGGACACTGACCGTCGCCCGACCTCCCGACCCTCGGCCGGGGAAGTGGCTCTTTGAGGAGCCTTTGTTTCACAACGCCTTCCTGCCAGTTGCTGGACTCTCCTCGCCCACAATGAGAGCAAAGCTCATCGAGGCTGGCGTTGTGAAGCTGGGTCACCTCACCAGGAGAACTCTGGAGGAGCTGGCTGAGATGTCGGGCGTCCGGTCATCCAGGATGCTGCAGAGCCTCATGGAGAAGGTGTGGCGCTCGCTTCCCGCTCCTCTGAGGGCGTTTGCTCAGAACAGGACTATGGCCGACCGATGGTGTGAGGGACAGGACTACATCTTCCCCTCACTGAGTGTGAGTCCTGCTGTGGGGGAGTGGAGCGAGGACAGAGGCCTGCTCCTCTCCCTGAAGACTCCAGTGCTGGGCAGCTTCAGCTCCTGCAGCAAGAAGCAGCTGTACCTCAGCTGCATCAAGGTGCTGAACCTCCGCTCTCTGGATGGAGTCCGGGAGTCCAGGTGGACAGAGGTGTTTGGCTCAGACTCTTCCCCTAAAGGCAGCTGGCGTCTCCTGTACAAGCCTCCTGTTGAGAAACGGATGGCCGACCTCCAGTGGAGGATCGTACATGGAGCCATAGCTACAAACAGACACGTAGCTCACTTGAACCCCAGCACTGAGGAGAACTGCCCCTTCTGCCCTGAACCAGAAACCCTCCAGCATCTGGTGGTGTCCTGCCCCCGCCTGACAGGGCTGTTCCAGCTGCTGAAGGAGTGGGTGGAGCGGCTGGGAGAGACCTTCTCGCTGTCCGTCTTTGTGTACGGACCAAAGTACACTCCCAGGAAGAGACAGTCCCTGGTTTTAATTAATTTTATTTTTGCAGCTGCCAAGTTGGCAATTTGGAGGACAAGAAAAAACCAGATGAGGGGGGAAGGCTGGACTGACCCGGTCCGCTGTTTGAAAGGTTTGGTGGCAGCTCGTTTGAAAGTAGAGCGAGCGTTTTTCACACTGACCGGGAACATGAACGGGTTCAGGGCTGAGTGGGGCTTTGGGCAGCTCCTGACCTCACTAGGGGAGGACTTTTAACCTAGCTTAGCTTAGTTTAGCTTAGCTTAGCTAGTTTTACCCCTTAGTGTGTGAGAGAGTGTGAATGGAAGCTTTCTTGTTTTGTTCTGTTCTATTTATTTATTTATTCATTTTTCTTTCTGTTTGCAGTAACTTTTTGATTTTTTGACTACTAAAGTTGTGTTAAGGGTGTTATTGATAAGGTCTCAAATAAAGTTGTGTTAAAATAAAAAAAAAGTCTCTCTCTGTCTCTCTCTCTCTCTGTCTGTCTCACTCTCTCTCCTCACCTCCCAGTCCTCGATAGAGCTCTGCCACTGGGCGATCTTGTCGATATTCTCCAGGCGCCGCTTCCTCTCGTTGATCAGCCTCGCCACGTTCTTCATGGCGTTCAGCGCCGCCTCCACATCTTTGTAGTCTCTACAGATCAGAGAGAGATGATATTCTCATGATATTCTTTATATTTATAATTCAATGAGAAAATTGACACTAACAGTGATGGTGTGTATCCCAAACCTGATAATTTTGACTCTCTCACTCACCGTCCTGCTGCCACACATACTCACTAAATGTGGATTCATCCATCATTAAAAAGAGGCTCCAACCAATGCACTAAATGTTTGTTAAAAACTCGTGTCCAGCTGTTTCTAGCAGATGTTTGTGAGTTTTCTCTGAACGTGGTTTCTTGTCAGCAGCAGGTGGTGGTGACTGTCTCTTAACAACAGCTTCAGCCATCTTTGTCTTTATAATACCAGAGGTTATAACACGTCCTCTGATGCAACGAGATCGTTTCTTAATTAAACACATTCCACACAGAATCAAAGTTCCTGAAGCAGAATTATATTTTAGCTGCTGTTCTATCAGAACTGTGTGGACAGGACATCAAATTCAGACAATTTATATCCAGATATTAATATTTTGACTCAGTATGAAAGATGAATTTCTAAAAAAAATTTTGTAACTCAAATTCCATTTACAGAAGGACAACAGTGAGATATAGGTGAAAGCTCTGGAAAAAGCTAGGACCTTGATTTAAGACATTAGACAGAATGATCTAGATATTAACTGTATGTTGGCCACTGGTCTGTCTCCAGAGGACGGTCAGTGAGGGTCATGTGACACCTGTCCCCTCTGAGGACGTCACCTGTGCTGAGGGTTGGTGTACTTGAGCAGCTCCGCCAGCTGCAGCGGGTACTTGCAGATCTTCTGGACCGGGGTGAGCAGGAAGCCGTCCAGGGATATGTCGATCATCTTCTGAAGCAGTCGGCACGCCTCGAAGAAGAACACGTACTTGTTGACCTTCATCAGCTTGGAGAGCTGCACGCAGGCGTTGGGGTGGTTGTTGCAGTACTCTGAGTATATCTGGAAATCTGTTTGCTAACAGGACAGGAAAGAAGAGGAAGTGAGAGGGAGGAGAACAGGGTACACTCATTTCTCTTCACCACGTTTTTACCTCATTTCATTATTAGAAAGAATTTGTGTCTTGGGTTTTTATTCCTTTGCACCAACGATGACCGGCGCTCATAATGTGGTTGTATGCAGATTTTAGAATGGCGATAAAAGGCTTCAATCTAATATCTGATTTCACTCAGTTGTCAGTTTGTGAGGAAAGCCTACAGCAGCGAAAACTAATGCAGTCAATATAAAACCTACAATACATGCTCATTCATGAAGATTATAACTTGTTGGAAACGTGTTGATTCAACTGTGTGATCATTCTGGAGGATGCAGTCTGTGCTGCTGTTGATCTGTACTGCTTTGTGTTGACAGGTGTTCCTTTTATTTTGTCCACCCCATTCAAATGAATGAAAGGCTAAACATACAGATGAATCAACAGCTCTTTAACCCAGTTTCTACATAAACGGAACATTACAACCTTCATGAAGGAGGATTGAGACTGTGTAAGTTATAGTTAGGTGTTCCTAATAAACTGACAACTGTATATTCATATTAGCGTAAGGGTTTTAGAGAATGAAACAACAAAGGACAAAATAAAGAAGAAATGTGAAGTGGAACAACTAGAGGAGGTTTCAAACTGATTCCTGTGACATTTCTTTAATAGTAGGTTTGGGTGAAATCTAAAATTGAATATCTTGATACAGTCCAGCTCAAATATCGTGATACATCATATTATGTTCAAGGTATAAGTGATGCTGCCACTAGACAGCAGGTCAAAGTTTTATTCGTCACATGCAAAGGTTCAATGTACATAAGCAGATGAGGGTCAGACTCTGCAGCAGAGCAGAGCTCAAAACTTTGATTAAAATTTAACATTATGAAAAATATTGTGATATTCAATGTTATCAAATATCAGTTGAAGCCTGTTTCATACAGTAACATCCCTCTGATTCTAACTTGAGACACAGCTGCTGAGATTCACAGGCTGTCTGAAGGGTCTTTGTTCTGAACTCTGAACTCTAGACTCTGTTCTGGACTCTGGATTCTGTTCTGAACTCTGGACTCTGGATTCTGTTCTGAACTCTGGATTCTGTTCTGAACTCTGGATTCTGTTCTGAACTCTGGACTCTGGATTCCTTTCTGAACTCTGGATTCTGTTCTGAACTCTGAACTCTGTTCAGAATTCTGGACTCTGTTCTTAACTCTGGACTCCGGATTCTGTTCTGAACTCTGGATTCCTTTCTGAACTCTGGATTCTGTTCTGAACTCTGGACTCTGGATTCTGTTCTGAACTCTGGATTCTGTTCTGAACTCTGGATTCCTTTCTGAACTCTGGATTCTGTTCTGAACTCTGGATTCCTTTCTGAACTCTGGACTCTGTTCTGAACTCTGAACTCTGGATTCTGTTCTGAACTCTGGATTCTGTTCCAAACTCTGGATTCTGTTCCAAACTCTGGACTCTGGATTCTGTACTGAACTCTGGACTCTGTTCTTAACTCTGGACTCCGGATTCTGTTCTGAACTCTGGATTCCTTTCTGAACTCTGGATTCTGTTCTGAACTCTGAACTCTATTCAGAATTCTGGACTCTGTTCTTAACTCTGGACTCCGGATTCTGTTCTGAACTCTGGATTCCTTTCTGAACTCTGGATTCTGTTCTGAACTCTGGACTCTGGATTCTGTTCTGAACTCTGGATTCTGTTCTGAACTCTGGATTCCACTCTGAACTCTGGATTCTGTTCTGAACTCTGAACTCTGGATTCTGTTCTGAACTCTGAACTCTGGATTCTGTTCCAAACTCTGGATTCTGTTCTGGACTCTGGACTCTGTTCAGAATTCTGGATTCTGTTCTGAACTCTGGATTCTGTTCTGGACTCTGGATTCCTTTCTGGACTCTGGATTCTGTTCTGAACTCTGAACTCTGGATTCTGTTCTGAACTCTGAACTCTGGATTCTGTTCTGAACTCTGAACTCTGGATTCTGTTCCAAACTCTGGATTCTGTTCTGGACTCTGGACTCTGTTCAGAATTCTGGATTCTGTTCTGAACTCTGGATTCTGTTCTGGACTCTGGATTCTGTTCTGAACTCTGGACTCTGTCCAGAATTCTGGATTCTGTTCTGAACTCTGGATTCTGTTCTTAACTCTGAACTCTGGATTCTGATCTGAACTCTGGACTCTGTTCTTAACTCTGGACACTGGATTCTGTTCTGAACTCTGGATTCTGTTCCAAACTCTGGACTCTGTTCCGAACTCTGTTCAGAATTCTGGATTCTGTTCTGAACTCTGAACTCTGGACTCTGTTCTTAACTCTGGACACTGGATTCTGTTCTGAACTCTGGATTCTGTTCTGAACTCTGGATTCTGTTCTGAACTCTGAACTCTGGATTCTGTTCTGAACTCTGGATTCTGTTCCAAACTCTGGACTCTGTTCAGAATTCTGGATTCTGTTCTGAACTCTGGACTCTGTTCTTAACTCTGGACACTGGATTCTGTTCTGAATTCTGGATTCTGTTCTTAACTCTGGATTCTGTTCTGAACTCTGGATTCTGTTCCTAACTCTGGACTCTGTTCTGAACTCTGAACTCTGGATTCTGTTCTGAACTCTGGATTCCTTTCTGAACTCTGGACTCTGTTCCAAACTCTGTACTCTGGATTCTGTTCTGAACTCTGGATTCTGTTTTGAACTCTGGACTCTGTTCTGAACTCTGGACTCTGTTCCAAACACTGGACTCTGGATTCTGTTCTGAATTCTGGATTCTGTTCTGAACTCTGAACTCTGAACTCTGTCCAGAATTCTGGACTCTGTTCTGAATTCTTAGGACAGGGAAAGGCAGAACTGGAGGGATGCTGGGAAAGTGCAAGCTAAGTTGTCTAAATGGACATGGTTGCTACCTCAGCTGTCTACAGGGGAAGAGCTCTGATTGTCAACAACCTGGTGGCCTCGTCCCTCTGGCACAGACTACAGTGCTGGTGCCTCCGCCTGACCTCGTGGAACAACTGCAGCGGCTCCTGGTGGACTTCTTTTTGACTGGATGTCATTGGGTGAGAGCGTCGTCCTGTACTCCCTGTGGCAGAGGGGCAGGGCCTGATTGACATCAAGTCCAGAACTGCAACCTTCAGACTGCAAGCAGCTCAGCGGGCTGTATGGACTCTCGCCCTGCTGGTCGGCTTGGCCCGCCTGTTACTCCAGAGAGCCGGACGGCTCGGACTGGACAAACAACTCTTTCTTAAAGCCAGCTGGATGTGACCTGGAAGGGCTCACACCCTTCTACAGTTCGGTTTTGGACGCTTGGAGGACCCTGACCGTCGCCCGACCTCCTGACCCTCGGCCGGGAAGTGGCTCTTTGAGGAGCCTTTGTTTCACAACGCCTTCCTGCCAGTTGCTGGACTCTCTTCGCCCACACTGAGAGCGAAGCTCATCGAGGCTGGCGTTGTGAAGCTGGGTCACCTCACAGGAGAACTCTGGACGGCTGGCTGAGATGTCGGGCGTCCGTCATCCAGGATGCTGCAGAGCCTGATGGAGAAGGTTGGCGCTCGCGTCCCGCTCCTCTGAGGGCGTTTGCTCACAACAGGACTTATGGCCGCCAATGTGGTGTGAGGGACAGGACTACATCTTCCCTCACTGAGTGTGAGTCCTGCTGTGGGGGGTGGAGCGAGGACAGAGGCCTGCTCCTCTCCCTGAAGACTCCAGTGCTGGCAACTCAGCTCCTGCAGCAAGAAGCAGCTGTACCTCAGCTGCATCAGGTGCTGAAACCCCGCTCTTCTGGATGGAGTCCGGTGAGTCCAGGTGGACAGAGGTGTTTGGCTCAGACTCTTCCCCTAAAGCAGCTGGCGTTCCTGTACAAGCCTCCTGTTGAGAAACGGATGGCCCGACCTCACAGTGGAGATCGTACATGGAGCCATAGCTAGAACAGACACGTAGCTCACTTGAACCCCAGCACTGGAGGAGAACTGCCCCTTCTGCCTGAACCAGAAACCCTCCAGCATCTGGTGGTGTCCTGCCCCGCCTGACAGGGCTGTTCCAGCTGCTGAAGGAGTGGTGGAGCGCTGGGAGAGACCTTCTCGCTGTCCGTCTTTGTGTACGGACCAAAGTACACTCCCGGAAGAGAACAGTCCCTGGTTTTAATTAATTTTATTTTTGCAGCTGCCAAGTTGGCAATTTGGAGGACAAGAAAAAACCAGATGAGGGGGGAAGGCTTGGACTGACCCGGTCCGCTGTTTGGAAAGGTTTGGTGCAGCTCGTTTGAAAGTAGAGCGAGCTTGTTTTCACACTGACCGGAACATGAACGGGTTCAGGGCTGAGTGGGGCTTTGTGGCAGCTCCTGACCTCACTGGGGGAGGATTTTTAACTTGGCTTAGCTTAGCTGGTTAGCTTAGCTTAGCTAGTTTTTACCCCTTAGTGTGTGAGAGAGTGTGTGAATGGAAGTTTTCTTGTTTGTTTCTGTTCTATTTATTTATTTATTCATTTTCTTTCTGTTTGCAGTAACTTTTTTGATTTTTTTGGACTATCTAAAGTTGTGTTAAATGTAAAAAAAAAGTCTCTCTCTGTCTCTCTCTCTCTCTCTGTCTGTCTCACTCTCTCTCCTCACCTCCCAGTCCTCGATAGAGCCTGCCACTGGGCGATCTTGTCGATATTCTCCAGGCGCCGCTTCCTCTCGTTGATCAGCCTCGCCACGTTCTTCATGGCGTTCAGCGCCGCCTCCACATCTTTGTAGTCTCTACAGATCAGAGAGAGATGATATTCTCATGATATTTCTTTATATTTATAATTCAATGAGAAAATTGACACTAACAGTGATGGTGTGTATCCCAAACCTGATAATTTGACTTCTCAGCACGTCCTGCTGCCACACATACTCACTAAATGTGGATTCATCCATCATTAAAAGAGGGCTCCAACAATGCAAAATAAATGTTTGTTAAAAACTCGTGTCCAGCTGTTTCTAGCAGATGTTTGTGAGTTTTCTCTGAACGTGGTTTCTTGTCAGCAGCAGTGTGGTGACTGTCTCTTAACAACAGCTCAGCCATCTTTGTCTTTATAATACCCGAGGTATATAACACGTCCTCTGATTGCAACGAGATCGTTTCTTAATTAAACACATTCCACACAGAATCAAAGTTCCTGAAGCAGAATTATATTTTAGCTGCTGTTCTATCAGAACTGTGTGGACAGGAACATCAAATTCAGACAATTTATATCCAGATATTAAATTTTGACTCAGTATGAAAGATGAATTTCTAAAAAAATTTTGTAACTCAAATTCCATTTACAGAAGGACAACAGTGAGATATAGGTGAAAGCTCTGGAAAAAGCTAGGACCTTGATTTAGACATTAGACAGAATGATCTAGATATTAACTGTATGTTGGCCACTGGTCTGTCTCCAGAGGACGGTCAGTGAGGGTCATGTGACACCTGTCCCCTCTGAGGACGTCACCTGTGCTGAGGGTTGGTGTACTTGAGCAGCTCCGCCAGCTGCAGCGGGTACTTGCAGATCTTCTGGACCGGGGTGAGCAGGAAGCCGTCCAGGGATATGTCGATCATCTTCTGAAGCAGTCGGCACGCCTCGAAGAAGAACACGTACTTGTTGACCTTCATCAGCTTGGAGAGCTGCACGCAGGCGTTGGGGTGGTTGTTGCAGTACTCTGAGTATATCTGGAAATCTGTTTGCTAACAGGACAGGAAAGAAGAGGAAGTGAGAGGGAGGAGAACAGGGTACACTCATTTCTCTTCACCACGTTTTTACCTCATTTCATTATTAGAAAGAATTTGTGTCTTGGGTTTTATTCCTTTGCACAACGATGACGGCGCTCATAATGTGGTTGTATGCAGATTTTAGAATGGCGATAAAAGGCTTCAATCTAATATCTGATTTCACTCAGTTGTCAGTTTGTGAGGAAAGCCTACAGCAGCGAAAACTAATGCAGTCAATATAAACCTACAATACATGCTCATTCATGAAGATTATAACTTGTTGGAAACGTGTTGATTCAACTGTGTGATCATTCTGGAGGATGCAGTCTGTGCTGCTGTTGATCTGTACTGCTTTGTGTTACAGGTGTTCCTTTTATTTTGTCCACCCCATTCAAATGAAATGAAAGGCTAAACATACAGATGAATCAACAGCTCTTTAACCCAGTTTCTACATAAACGGAACATTACAACCTTCATGAAGGAGGATTGAGACTGTGTAAGTTATAGTTAGGTGTTCCTAATAAACTGACAACTGTATATTCATATTAGCGTAAGGTTTTAGAGAATGAAACAACAAAGGACAAAATAAAGAAAGAATGTGAAGTGGACACAACTAGAGGAGGTTTCAAACTGATTCCTGTGACATTTCTTTAATAGTAGGTTTGGGTGAAATCTAAAATTGAATATCTTGATACAGTCCAGCTCAAATATCGTGATACATCATATTATGTTCAAGGTATAAGTGATGCTGCCATAGACAGCAGGTCAAAGTTTTATTCGTCACATGCAAAGGTTCAATGTACATAAGCAGATGAGGGTCAGACCTCTGCAGAGAGCAGAGCTCAAAACTTTGATTAAAATTTAACATTATGAAAAATATTGTGATATTCAATGTTATACAAATATCAGCTGAAGCCTGTTTCATACAGTAACATCCCTCTGATTCTAACTTGAGACACAGCTGTCTGAGATTCACAGGCTGTTGAAGGGTCTTTGTTCTGAACTCTGAACTCTAGACTCTGTTCTGGACTCTGGATTCTGTTCTGGAAACTCTGGACTCTGGATTCGTTCTGAACTCTGGATTCCTTTCTGAACTCTGGATTCTGTTCTGAACTCTGAACTCTATTCAGAATTCTGGACTCTGTTCTTAACTCTGGACTCCGGATTCTGTTTCTGAACTCTGGATTCCTTTCTGAACTCTGGATTCTGTTCTGAACTCTGGACTCTGGATTCTGTTCTGAACTCTGGATTCCTTTTGAACTCTGGACTCTGTTCTGAACTCTGAACTCTGTTCCATCTGGACTCTGGATTCTGTTCTGAACTCTGAACTCTGGATTCTGTTCTGAACTCTGGATTTCTGTTCCAAACTCTGGATTCTGGATTCTTTCTACTCTGGACTCTGGATTCTGTTCTGAACTCTGGACTCTGTTCTTAACTCTGGACTCTGGATTCTGTTCCAAACACTGATTCTGTTCTGAACTCTGGATTCTGTTCTGAACTCTGGACTTTGTTCTTAACTCTGGATTCTGGATTCCTTTCTGAACTCTGGACTCCTGGATTCTGTTCTGAACTCTGGATTCTGTTCTGAACTCTGGATTTCTTTCTGACTCTGAACTGCTGGGATTCTGTTCTGAACTCTGAACTCTGA